TTAAGATATACTATTGATTACGTGAAATGGAATAATAAATTACTCTTTGCCCATACAGGTTAAATACATTTATGTTAAATGTATCTTTAAATGTATCTTTATATTTAAAATATGCCCACAGAGAAGAATTTTTAAGATATAATATTGATTATGTTCGAACTGGCAAGGGCCTTTAAAAAAAATTCCAAAAATTCGTTAACAAACATGTGCTGTCAATTTATTTTTTGAACCCCAAGAGTTAAGGAATGCAGACCATAAACAAGTTCAACATGCTGATAGCACATAAATCCCATCACTCTTCCAACTGCGCCACCATTTAAAACAAAGACAAATTCGCACTTTCCCCAATGCATCCCCAAAATCTGCCCCAACCACTTTCACATTTCACTTTTGTGACATCTCTGGCGAAAAATGTGAAATGAAATAAATATTGACGGGCGAGTTGAGTTTTTGCAGCCGAGTTCGGATTGGGTGATTTATGTGGCATGACTCATGGGCGAATAAGTGTAACTGAAACTGAAGCCGGTCTAGATTTATGTGCTGCTATATAACTGACCAATCTGACCGACCAGCACAGCCCGACAATTCCCAGACACGGTGGCAAACAACCAAGGAGAAATTGAAAACTTTTGTATGAAGTGACATTCCCACGGTGCTACGATGGGTGGTGCCCCATCTGACGGTGCAGAAAGTCAAGTGGAGTGGGCCAGCAAACATGCCAATATTCTGCAGGCACTTGGCACACATAATGTGAGGAAAGTGCTCCGGGGGACGTTGAACCCTTCTTGAAAAGGGAAATGCATGCCCAGCACTGCGAAAAATATGAAAGTGGTGTCCAAAGCACAATCTATTTAAGGACTGAACACAATAAACAATCGGAAATGCAAAGTGTAATAAATGCATACTGAAGTTATGGTAATTTAGCCAGTCACTTCATTTTTTGTTTAAACTTGTTTTAGATTACAGGTAAATATATTTTATATTCACGTTCTTCTTAGGCACAAGAAACTATGCATAAGCTTTATAATATCAACCTAAAAATTTCTAATTTGAAATAGTTGACTACTGACCACTGACTTTCAAAATATTCTGGTTATTTGTAATATTATATTCACCGACTTAATATATTTTAATATTTTTTGAACTGCCCATTTCGCAAAAAATGGTACATTCAATCTATGGATTTTTCTGCGTCTGCAGTGGGCTGGCGAAATGCAAATGAGTGGGTGGCTGGGTGCTTTAGCCTGAGATTTGGCTCGCCTCGGTTTTACTTTTCGCCAGATACCCGCACTCAGATGCGAGTGCGGACTCGTATTTCGGTCACAAAACGCGTGGAGATGGAGGGGGATTCACTTGTGCATGTCAATCACATTCTGACAGGCGACTGCGGAGGCATATAGCATCCAACATATAGAGCACATTCGCACACACCTCCCCGACCACAGCCGTCCGAATCCATCCACTCATACCCATCCATCTATCCCAGCTACAATCCATCCTCATCTGGCTGCCAGCGATGCGACGATGAGACAACATTGCCGCAATTGACTGACGGCCTAAAACGGTGGCAGCCAATAGAATCGCGCAGCAGAGCTATTTGGCCGTGTTTCTAGTAATTAAATACAGCAAAGTTCTCAATTATTTATGGCTAATTCAATTTTATTCAGGCGGAATTAAATCTCCACAGCGACGGGGAAATGAAATTAAAATAATGACTCCATTAATTGGATTTCCAACATTCTGGAAATAGCCGCTAAACACCTGATAAATATGCGAAATGCATTTTTCATGGCACCTCTTACAAAAACGCGCCATTTCTGTCCAAACTATTAATTCATGTTCCGTGCGTAATTATTATTTCTAATGTGCGGCATTTATTATGCGCTATGATCATTTATATCCGCCATAATTTGCACTGGCAAGAATGGGACAAATTTAATGTGGAAATAATTTCAAGTGTCAAATGGATGGAAAGATGAGGGGGCGTTACTTCAAAGAATAAGAACACTTGCACTATGAAGTCAAATTATATTATTCATGGAGGGGATGGAGTATGAAAAACACAACTAGTTTTTAATTAAAAGTGATACAAGCTCCGTGTTTGCCCCACACAAAAGCTAAATTAGCTCAACAACAGAGGTATTTTTATTTAACGACCTGTTCAATCGATATTAAACTAATTAATTAGTGTTATGCCAGCTATATATCGCTTTAATGATTTCAAAACCATTCAATTTGCATATAATTTTTGTGATACTGCTGAGCGTGTAAATTTACCAAAATGAATCACTTATCGTAATGAAGTTCTGAAATTACACCAAACTAATAGCTGCACAGGGACTCTATTAATTTGCATACATGGGCAGAGTTCATTAAAAATTCATTGGGGATCGCGACTTTGTCAACTCACTTAAATATTTAGGCTAGCTTCTTGAAAATCAATTTCGGAAAATTGCTGGCATTTATATGGAAATACAACGGTGCTGGAAAATGTAAGGGAAAAAATTAACAGAATTTATAAGAAAAGTTTGCCTGCCACCGAAAACTTTTTCACAAAAAGAGCAACCACGAAAGGGTCCAGGGAATGGGTTTTAAAATGATAAACTGACCCTCACCGAGAATGTCGTCCTTATGCGTCTGCATTCCCAGACGCCCCCAACAAAACCGCCCAAAACTTTCCCAGCCACGTTGTCTGTGTTTTGGCCAACTTAATTCAATCAAGCGAAAATTGCTTTAAAGTCGAAAATGATTTAATATTCTTGTGGGAGCGATTTCAAAGCAAACTCTAATGAGCTGATTCTTGGCAGCAGTAATTACTTTGGACAAGCAAAAATGCATTCTTGAGATTCAATTATCTACATTAAGCTACACATTTTTTGCGGCCAGTTGACAAAGTGAGGCAGGAAAATAAACAAAAGCTTGTAATGAAATCTTTGAATGCCCTTGGTTAAGAAAACAAATTTAAATACGTTAAGAGAAGACCATACTATTCAGTACATTACCAAAGATAATTAGCACTGTTAATGTCGTTGGTTTAATTTCAAATTTTCTTGTTTTCCGGATTATCAGCTTCTATTCAACACACAAACAAAAAAAATGTATTTTAAATACCATTTATAATATATTTACATATAATAGTAAGTACTTTTTGTAATCCAATTAAATAAATTTATGTAAATTTTATAAGAATCTCCTGCAACATTTTAGGTACGGTATTTTTTGTAGTGTATTTTGAGCGGTATTTAAAACATATAAACTTTTCACTGGTAGATAATTTAATTTAAAGTTTTCCGTACGACACAGAGGGGACTTTGCTACAGATAAAACTTTTACGATTTGAGGAATGGTATACAATAAACATCTCACAATTTGGGTCGCATTTAAAGCACTTTTCAGTGCCAACGGAAAAGGCTTAAAGCAAACTGTCGCAAATTCAACCAGATGGATTAAAAGTTTCGCTCAAAAGGCCAAACTAAAGTTAGACTCCGAGAAACGTCGACAGTTGTCATATTTTCTGTGTCACTCTTTTCCCTAATTTTCTTAGAGATATCTCAATTTCTTACAATATGTTTGTCAGCGTTTTTTCCACTTTCATCCAGCCAAGTCGAACTTTTTACTAAACGAGAACTTCAACTGGTTCCACATGGAAATTAATTCAGCAATTTCTTTCCCAGTTGGGTGCGAACAAAAACGGAAAATTTGATATTCTTCCAAGAACTAACAGAGGAATGGAAATAACTTATGGTTTGGGCCAGGTGGATAGTTTTCCAAGTGCACAGCAATTAGATTTCGACGCCAGAGGCTTCTTAAGTTGGAGCTCTGCGACGGTGGCAGTGCTGAGATATGATTTATTTATCCGAAAAATTGAGAAAGAAACTAGAGATTGCATCTGAAACGCAATCACTTTCCAAACTTAATTTAAATATCTGGCAAATTTGCGAGCATCTTCCGCAATCCGGAATGCAAGAACTTTAAAAGAGTTAAGAGATGTTATAGAACAACCTATGATGTCGATCTTTGGTTACTAGTTACTTTGGTTAGTTTATTTGAAAAATCACAATCTTGCTGTATCCTATTCCAAGTAAATTTGACAGCATGCAATTCTCATTATTGCTTAGCTTCAATTATTGCAAAACAGCTACATGCAAAATGCATGCAATTAGGGTCAGAATAATCAATCAGCAATCAAAGCCTTTCGGAATTCAAGCTAATACAGGTGCATTTGCAACTATAATAATTTCATTGACAGACCCAATACCGATATAATTTTAAGTGCAGTCCACAGCTTGAATTATGAAATAACTGTGCCAAACATAATATGTTACGCAAACACTTTTCCGTTATAGGAATTTAGGAAAAGTATAAATCATAAATTACGTATACGACAGGTAAGCCAACCCAAACGATTATGCACATTTAAATGATGAACAATTATTTAAAATAATTTAGTTAACAAACAATTATGAATTATTGTTACATTTAAAGTAATCCAGATAAGCAAATACCAACAGAAGTTACACAACTAAGAATATATATAAAAATTGTACCAGAAGAAAAAATTTTTGAAAAATTTCTTGTTTAAGAAAGATAGGTAACCCAAAGTTCTGAGTAAGCTATAGCGACTAACGAATCTCACTAGTAATTTGAAAATCCTTGTTCTTATATCCTGCTAAATAATCCGAGGAGAATCAACAAGCTTCTGCCAAAAACAGCAACAGAACTGCAACCGCTAACAGTCGGCTGTTGTTGGCCAACGAAAGTGAGAGTTCGTATAAGAGAGAAAGTTCCGGCGGGAGAGTCTCCCCACCGCGCGCTCTCCCGACCAACTGTTAATTGAGGAAAATTGCAGCTGGGAAAACGGCAGCAGACCGCAACACGCAACACGCATCAGGCATCAGGCCAATCGGGCGACGAACCTGAAAGCCGAGCACCGAGCGCAACTGTGGAGCAACCGAGCAACTTTGCAGTCGGAAAACTCGCATCGGAAAATTCGCATCGGAAAACTCGCATGCACCACAACAAAATTCGCCGGCAAATGCGGCGCGCAGTATGCAAAACAATGCCGAAACGTGCAGTTCGGCCACTGTATCTGAATCTGAAATAATAATACAATGCCAAACTACGAGCAAACTTAGGGCAAAGTAAACAAAAACTTCGTCAGCACCAAAAGCCGAATTCGATAAACGTGCGCGAAAAACACAAACTAAATAGGGCAAATGTGGCGATAAAGTTGGGAGGGAAATAAATAACCCCAGGTGCTTTTCCTGCTGCCTGCATCCAATCCAAATTAGCGGCCAAAACTCAAGGAAAATAAACAAATAATTTTGCTACCAGCCGCAGCCGAATCACAAATAAATCCAACGTGGAGTGAAAAATAACACTAGCGTCGCAATCCGAGGAATTGCAGAAACGCTTGCCAAATATTTTGAAAACCCCGAAAAGTGTGTGGTGTGCCATTTTCTCGGATTCGAAAGGATGAGTGGCTAGATGACACATTATATTCAAGTGGTAAGCAGAATGTGCCCCGAGGAACATCGAATTGGTGTGCACACCTCAAAAGTTTGGGTGCTATCTATTAACATGTGAAATATTTCTAGGCACTTGAAGTCATATGTGCTTATATAGCACATTATATAAATAAAAAAACAGCTCCCTTAATTTTTAAATACAATTGTTTTCTTATTTTGATTAAAACAAATCTTTATTCATTAGCTCGTAAACTTTCGCTCTCTGCGTGGGTTTTCCATTCGCAACGTTCAAATGTTTGTGTGCGATGAAATTTATCAGATTACGGAAATTTTGTGCGAATAGCAATTTGTAACTGTTGAATGTTTTGCGTTGAGGGAAGGGGGTTGAACTTTATACGATACGATGAAATGGGTTGAGGAATGAGGAATAAGGAATTGGTTTGCCCGTTGATGTGGAAACTGAGGAAGGCTGACCATTGGCGGTAGCCGCAGTAAAGCAGAAAGGATTTTGGGGAAATGAAACAAAATTTGACAAATTAGGGAATGCTGGTTTGGAATGGAGGAAATTTTATTCAGGAAAGTTCTGTGCTGAGAGTAAATGCAGAAATTGTTACGCAGACAAGTTGATTAATTTCTGTTGTGAGATGTGCAGAATAAAACATTCAATTTATATAAAGAGCTTGAAGCTTTCCTTAGCCACAAGTAATTTTCTAAATATATTAAATATATAACAAATTTGGAAAGCATTGTTTTCTGCTGCTGACATATTCAAACAGGCTGGAAACTTCTGTTATTCCCGAGGGCTGAAAGGTTTTTAAGCTGGAATTAAATGTAAATAACTGCCATTTTACTTCGTGAAACTTTAACCAAGTCTTACAGAACCAAAGCTATGAGCTACTTACTACTTTTACAGAAGCACTTCAGTAGCTCAGCTATGAAACTCAAGTTCCTTCAGCCTGTTCCCCCTTTGCACCAGCAAAACGCACTTCGAAAAAGAAGATAACCCGGCGGATGAGCTCATCCAGCTAAGTAAAGTCCACTAAAACCGAAAACCCCTGCCACACTCAAATAAAGGCAGGAGGAGCAGATAGCCACCACCACACCCCATGGCCATAAAACCCAATCAAAAGGCCGTTGCACTCGCTGACTAACGGACTAACTGAGTGAATGACGTGCCCTGGCCCAATCCTTCAGTCAATTGGTTTGATGGCCTGAGTCCGAATGTGGAGCAAGAAGCAGCATGGGAAGACAGCGCAAACAGCAGGCGAACGTAAAGAAAGAGGGAAAGTAGAGGAGCAAGTCGCGGAGGAGGAGCAAGCCAAGCATTTCACCAGCTGCTGCTGCTGCTGCGACTCCGCAACTCGGGGCGTGTAATTTGTCAGACAGATTTCTTTTAGCGCCAGGACACAGCCCCTCCAATCCAATCCTTCCTACACACTCACACACACACAACGAACCGAAAAAATACCGCCCACGTCATTGCAACAAAACTGCTTCCTTCCTGACTTTTGGCCATGTTCTTCGGAACTGAACTGGGCTCAGTCGAGGCTGGGATTGCTCTTACTTATCAGCTATTCCCTTTAATTATATATTTTAAATATCTCTGTTTACGAGCAGTGAATAAGTTTGAATATTATATATTATATTCCTCAAATCGAACTTATTTTGATGGGGAGTATTACATATTTTTTTACTTTTTCATTTTAAAATTGTTTATTAGCTAGTGGATATTGCCTGTGATTTAGTAGTTTGCAGCAATATTTTTTCATAGTGAATCAATTTATGCATAATTGCTATTTTTTAATAGTGACCTTTGCAGTGCAAGGAATGGTGTTATTTTAATGCACGCATCTTGATTTATTATTTATTGATTCATAAATTTGATTTATAAAATTGTGGTATTAAATTATTGGTTTGCTACATGGGTAATATATTTTGTAATGAGCATTTGACAAAAATATAGACAGGGATAAGAAAAATATTATAAAATAGCCCACTCTTTTATTAAAAACCATTGGAAAAGTGAAAATGGGAACAGTCTGTGCAAAAGGTATTGGAAGAAAAGGGAAGGGAAAAACACGAGACAGACATTGACATTTCAGTGCAAATGAAGTGATAAAACGTAAAGGCAAAGCGGCGTCAGCTCGAAAATTGCCAAAGTGAGAGAGGAATGGGTGAAGGAATGGGTAAGTGTGGACTAAAGTGAGGAAGAGAGAAGGACGCAGTCAGGGAGAAAGAGACGGGCCGACTGAGCTAGATAGAGAGGGTCTGGCAGACAAAGCGCGTCGAAAATGCGTCTAATTTGATGGAAGCGATGCATGCCTTAACCTTTCGTCGGCGTCAGGCAAACAGACAGCAGCAGCAGCAGCAGCAACGAAAACAACGATGACAGGCACCAAATGATAGCATTTCCTCCGGACTCAAAGGATCCGACTTAACCGAGAACAAGAACAAGGACACGGGCAGGGACAAGGGAGGGGGCCAGCCAACTGGGAGAGGATGAGCACCGGATTCAAATGGCGGAACAAGTGCCAGAGATGCTGATGTGGCTCCTCCACAGCTGCTGACAACAAATTGATGGCCAAGGATGCACAGGAATGCCTCGGAAATTAGTCAAGGCACAAGGGATTCCCACAAACTCCGCTTTAAGTCTGAAAAATTTGATCCTTTCTGCGTTCTGAAGGCGTCTTTAAAAAATAGAAAATTCACTTTCGTGCTTCACTCCGATGACTTAATCGTAGTTATATCAAAAGGAACTCGCTAAAAATATATCTTTAAATAAAGTGCTATGATAGCACGAGAAAATTCTACTTATATTGATTAAATATATAAATATACATTATATTTATAACATTCCACACTTATTCTATCGAAATCCGCTCCTGAAAAGTGCGTAAAACTTTGCCATCACATTTTCCAAATAATTAATTAAGTGGCACAAACCAGTGTTTCCGCTAAAATGAACCCCTGGGTTAAAGTTTTCTGCTGCTAATTAGAGAATTTCCAATAATTATGCATCATAATTGACAATTCAGTTTTTCACTACTCATCACTTGCGGATGGGAGGGACTTTCCAGCACCGTCAACTTTGAACTTTTTCTGCTGCATCAGACGACAGAAAACGAACAAAACTTTTGCAATTAATTACGGACAAGACCCCTAAACTAAGAAGGGGTTAGATTGGGCGGTGGGTCGCGTCCAACTTATCGCATTAAAAAAAAAATATATAATAATAAAAATGAACGCCATAGGAGGAGCTCTGTACCAGAGAGATCTGCTGCAATTAGTATTTTTTTAGGAATAAAAGGGAAATGGAAATGCATTTAACGGGCGGCGAGGGACGGGTATCAGATATCATATTCAACTGTGATGATTCTCGCTGCCCAACTGCAATGGCCTACTAAAAGAAAACTAATGAGAATGGGCGCAGAGGGGGTTGGCTCTATCCAAACAACCGCATCATGATTGACGAGTTAATGTGGCCTTAGTTAGGGTTCCATCTGGGCCAACTGATGGCGAAACTGTCAATTAATGCGAGCTAGCAGTGGCTGATGATGGGATATTTGGGGACATGTGGGGATATGGGGGAATTGGACTGAACAGTTGGAAGCTTGAGTGACTAGCTATTGTGCTGAGTTGGCGCCAGCGAATTCCTAATAAACCGATTCCAAATGAATGCTCAAAGGAGATGAATTCGAAAATCAATGGTATGGAACAGCCTTGAAGCCTTATAAATACCCTTCACACTTTATTTAAAATGATATCGCATGGAATTGGAAGCCCTTATTCAGGAACTCAAGTTTGAAACCAACAGACCCATACGTTGCTTCAGATAATTCGTAGGTTTTTAAATTTTAATATTGATTGTAGTGCACTACAAAATCATAAATATAATAATGAATAATATATTTACAGCTTATCAATTTCGTGTTCAATTTTTTCGTATGACAAATAAACTACTGCTCACTTGTAACACAGAACTTAATGCATAAAAAAGCATATTTTTACATGCGTGTATCACGTCATACATAAACCCGTAAGTTTAAGGCACAGCTGAAAAACGAGTCAGAAATTCTTGGCCGTAGCGAAAAAATGAGAAAGTGAAGGAGCAAAGTTTTGCATCAGAATGTTGGCACTTTGCGTCCGGTAGCAACCATCACCACAGGAATTTCCAGCACTTTTCCATTCTTCTCCTGCGTATCGGAAAATGTTGTGCGCATGGGCAACTCAAGTCTGTGGAAAACTAATAACAGCGGAACCTGCCCGTCTTCATTAAAGGTGCAACTTTTCAGGGTGCAATATTGCAAGGGTTTTTCCAACGGGCCCCCAAGTTTTGGCCCCGTCAAGAGTCAGACCATGATTAATGTTCAAATTAAACAAGGCCGCTCTGACGTTAATGACGACAAAAGAGCAGCCACGATAACAATGCCACCAGCGGCAGGAAAACACAACTAAAACACAACAAAAGTGTTAGTCACACCCGAAACAAAAACAACCATGGCTTTCGGTAGATAATGATGGCAAGTTTATACAAAAATGATTAGACTGGCTCACTCAATGTCGCAGCTGGGGCATAAAGTTATCAAATAGCAATGGTGATATAGTCGACTTGGTTATTAATGTGATGGGTATAATAATTGTATGGAAAACTAAGACAAAACATAAAATGCAGCTGTGTATTTTTGGCACATTCTAATGATTCTTTATTCAATAAATTTAAAAATAGAACAGTTCATTTAATTAGCATCTTCTAAACAGCAAGCCAAAATAAACTGCGCTTTTCACCACGAAGTCACCCAATCAATCACAGCCCTGTAAACCCTTGATTAGACAAAATAATAGGCCGTCAACAAATTGGTCGGAGTTTTCACTTCATGTGTGTAATCATTTTGCACCGATCGATTTCGTTGCGCATCCGATTCGATTTCGCAATTCAATTAGCGGCTCTAATGGCAATGACGAAATGAATGATTGCCCAATTGACACCATCCAGCCCACCAGCCGACTGCAATCAATATCTGGCCCTATTGATTGGATTTC